GATTCTATTGGAATGGTCGAAAAAAACGGAGATCAATTGAAAAAGTGTGTTTTTACCTTAGAGAGCTCAATCTTCTCAACCCGATGCAGCTACCACCTGGCCTCCTATCACTTCATTTGATATCAAATATTGAATGAGAGGGTAAAAACACAAAGAAAACGGCACTTTGAGTGAGGTAGAGGTTTTGTTGCGCCCCACTTCGAAAAAAAAAAACATAATAGTGAAGCCGAGAAACTTATCCCTGCAAAATATCAATGAATGGATTTTCGCATGTTCGAGAGGAGGTGTAGGGTCCAAAAATTGCTCTCGAAACCTTATGGGTTTGCAGTGTACGAAACCGAGAATGGGAATAGGAAAATTCTAGCGATGTTCAATGAATTCAAAGTGGCCTTCATGCGTACCTGCATACCAATGACAGCATAAATGAAGAACAGTAGAACAATGAGCAAGGCGACGTACGGCAAAGCCTAAATCAAATAACTTCATCAGAAGCTATCCCAAATATTTTTTTTCAATTGAGTTGATTTCAATTCTTCTCTCTTTTCATATCGTTGTTGTACAAAAACACATAAGAAGCCGTTAAAGGCTTTGAATGAAGCTCTAAAGCGGGGACTGAGAAGAAATGGCCCTAATGGTAATGTCCTCATCTCTCTTTGATCTGAATTCATATTTGAGTTTATACTATCAGTTTACACCACTTCTTTTTTGCTGTACAACCATCAACGCGCGCAAATCCAGGGTCACAAGGCATCTGTCAACCAGGGGGTGAGAGTGTAGGAGGAAAAGCAGACGTTCTTTGTGGTAGTGGGACTAAGCCTTTTAAAGGAGGTAAAGAAAGCGGAGATTCTGTAATAGTGCGCTTGTGTGAGAGCTCCCAGACAGCACAACAAAACGCTGAATTGCCTAGCCTCACGGTTGACAGAAAGTCTGAAACCTAAATTAAGTAGCTATTGTCCTCAAAGGGCAGAAGTGTTGTATAGTAAGTGACGTTGCTTACGACGAGCACACACAGAAAATAAGACCCTGAATCGTACGTCCCCCACCACTTGCTTGTCATGCGTGCAGAAAGGTCAGCTTTTGCCACTTCACCATCTAATTTTACCCCGACCTTTTGCCATACACAAGAGATCTACCAGGACAGACTTATACTGATAAAAATTGCCGTTCACGGTTTCAGAGGCTCTGTACTGAGCCCCTACCCCTTCTGCTCCAATAGAGTCGTCCTACGTCTTTGGATGCCCAAAAATTGCTACACAATACTGTAAGGCTACTGCTGCTGTTTCCATTGCTGAAGTTATTCGATCAAAAAAAAAGCAAAATGACTAGGAGTTCTTATATCTTTGCCCAAAGCTCACTTAATCCTACTTATTTGCCGCGCGCACTGTTTGAAACCTCTTTCCATATCCCACCACCTGCACTGTTTGCCTTAATTCAACTCTGGTTTGAGTACACCACATTTGCAACCCGCTGAAGCCGTTTTAGAAACAGCTGTAATAAACGCTTTTTCTAAACTGGTGGAGCTTCAGCATGAAAAATTGTGATGATATTATTTATTTGTATTCTAACGATATCGCGGCTTAGTCACGATTCTTGGAATCTTTTTCTCAGATGCGACGCAAAAATAAAACCCGCACACCAGGCAAAAATAAAACCCGCTTTTTCACTCAGCGGGGTAGAAATGTAAAACGTTTTGGAAAATATAATTTAGCTGGCCGATTTGGACCAGATTAAAGTTTCCTCCAGTTCGCCTCAGCTCGCAGTCTTGTAGTGCGCTTCTTTGTCTGAGCTTCGTATTTTGCTTGCGTGTTCGGCTGATCCTGATGCCCGGCTCACTTGATTCGATTCCGGTATTCTATCACTGCATTCTGGTCAATAGACTGATGGTCAACGACTGTGTACTGAACCATCGTCGAGGAATATATCGCTATATCTATCTCGAAGGAATTCGTTAAAAACGGGTCCCTTCAAACGACTTTTTTTCCCAGAAAATTTGAGAAAGGTAAAGTAGATGTTGCAATCCCGCACAAACCTGAAACGACTTCATGAAAGTCCACAGCAGCGTTCGAATACCCTCTCCTCGTGACAGTAGCTTGACAAGACGCATCACACGAAACAGTCGAAAGAAATTGATCGAGATAAGATTCGATCCTGAAAAAGAACCAGTTGGATATGAAAGCTTCTTATAGTACTCTACTCCTACATCAAGGATATTTTGCAGACAAAAAGGCATCCTGAGGCAACCTATGAACGCGCAGCAGCTTTGCGGAGGAAGTGACTGTGGCCAACAACGAGTGTGAGGAATCAGAAGTGTTTAGTGAAATAGTCGAGAAGAACAAGTAGCACAGGGAAATATGGGTGAGCCAAGCGTAGAGGAAATTTTGGACAACAAGAGCGTCACCTCTTCTTCTTCATCGACAACCCCTACGACCGCTTTCCGCACCGGTTGGTGGTTCACGATGTTGTGACATAGCGCCGTGGACCCTGGCCCATGTTAACACATTTTCAATTCAGCCTCCAAAATTAAAGAAGCCCGCAGGGTGAGTGTGAAGGAAGTGCGCAATTGCTGGAGCAGCATATTTGACAATCTTCCCCCACACTTTTGCACACTATCCCTACTGTTCCTACAAACAAGGAGTGGGGCACAAATATGGTGACAAAGCAATCGAGCCCTGTTCGAAAGAAAGGTAGAAACTGGATTTGAACTACAGCAACATTTAAGCACATCCTAGTAAACAACAATCAGCATTTCCTTTCAATATGTACGCAAATGAAGTCGATAACTTCCTCTTTGCGTTCCCTACTGAGGTCGATCCTGTCCGCATGACAAAGCTCAGATTACCATCTCACACTTTTTGATGGGCAACTGTTGAAACCTTGACGGGTCCTACTCATGCAAGGTGTATATATCCGGTTACACATCAAGTCCTATACTTTTTTTCTCATTCAACCAGCAAAAGCCCAATTACGAAAGTACCCAATTCCACCAAGGACGATCCAGTGGCTGGTTAAGCTACAAATATTTGATGCCACTTACCACCCGGATTGAGTTTGCCGTAGATGATGTCAATGAATGAGCCAAGCACGATCACGAAGTCGAAAGGCATTCCATCGATCACCAAAGTAGTTCTTAGGATTCAAAGCTGAAAATGTTCCATACAAATTACAATATTAACAAAGAAATTATACTTGAGTTCACTTTGATCTTATACCACTTGCCCAGGGGAGTGCATCGGACTGAATATTAGGCATGGTTTGGGAATTTGTGTTGACAGCATCACATAAATAATTCGCAAAATCCCAAATTCACTCAATTCCAATATTATCCATATTTGGAACTTTGTCAGCAATGAACGAAACACTGTTGAAAAGGCGTTAAGAGGCGTCACTTTTCGCATTTCCCTTTTGTCACCGGTAGCTACAGTTTATCATATGATCATAATCAGCAAAGCCTTAGCAGCGAATGTGGGTCTTCTACGTAACACAAAGACTCTATCACATGCATGGTTTGAAAATCAAAATCTTGAGCTGACATCTCACAATGGGATCTTCGCAGGACAATGGAGCGTTTCTCTCGAATGTTTTTCGTACTGTTGTAAAAAGGCTCATCGCGAAGAAATATGGGGGCCATGATATTTCTCCTGAATCTCAAAACAGCGGGAAGAAATGGTCAAGGTTGCGACTCGTTTCGGGTGACAAATTTTTTGCAACTTATGTTGGTGCCTCCAAATTGCCTCTCCATGACAAGGACATCTATTCTCAATGTTGGCGTCATTTGGCGACAATCTGGGGGCGCCAAAAACTAATACTTGCGTTAGTCATCACTAAGGAATCGGGGGAGGTTTCTGGATCAACTTCTTCAACCATTGTTCTTGCCTCCTGAAGGTTCAAGCAAAACATGATCAAGGTCTGTGTTCGCCCCGGATGAGCCTCTACACAGATAATGCATAGAGCCACTTTGAAAAAGGCTTTATGTCCTGAAAGACCTCCCTTGTTAGATCAACTAATTGCTCAAATACTCTGGAACAATTGGGTCCAGACTCGAAAAGCAGAAAAAAAGAGATACGCCCGTTTGACCTCATATTGTATGTATGCGAATAGTAGGTAAAACTGCTTCAAAACGACTACACGATTCAACTGGAAGTCGAACGCGTTCCGCGTCCTAGAAGGGGGATTATCGACGATGGATACGTCAGACTTCTGTCATGATTTCAAAAGCTATTCAACCTTCAAAGCTAATCAATGCACATACCTATGATTTTGAAGAAAGCCTCGAATGCGAACACTCCGGTGAAGACGAGATTGAGCACATCGAGGATATACTCGAATCTGTGCCCAGAGGGATAATGTTTACATGCCAGCGAGACAGTGTTCAGGACGATGATCAAAAAAGAATAAAAATCTACGTACTCGAAAGCACGCGATGTGACGAACACCTGTAACGACGGAAATTACCTTACAAGCTATTTCTATAACTAGCAGGAATGAAAAACTCACCACACACGTATCTGGAAGCGATTTCTCGGGATAGTATGCGGCGAAATTGTGGCTTTCGCTTTCCCAGTGGCAAACTCTCAATGCATTACGTCTTAAATAGGAGAATCAATCCAATTGGAGTAAATAGAATCACAAATAAAATATTATAAATATAATTATAATATAAAACGAATACCGTACCGAGGAAGCAAATAAATCAGCAGTGCATTATTCCATCTATAGGAAAACAACGACTATTACCAAACCAGGTGATCACTTCTTATGCCCTACCATCCATATCGTAGAATGGTATGTGCCTTTTCCCTTGTTTTAAAAGGTTTTCATGGCAAAACCAGTCTCCGTCAGCCAAATACATAGGTAACTCTCCAGGATTCGATAATAAAACCTTCAAGGGACCCAGTGAACTGGACGATCAACTTAAGAACGGAATACGGTGCAGTTGGCCATCGGCGGGAAAGTAAACTCACAGGCACATTTCGTGGTATAATACTCTGGATTACTATATACAAGAATGAAAATGGATGCGGTAATTGTCAGATCAATAGTGAAGGAGAGCAATCATGAATGCTATGAACCTTGCATATCAAATTGCACGACAACAGTATGGACGGAAATTGTGCCCAGCTCCCAGTTTTTCATTGCTTTCGTTTTACCGTACTTTACCGTATCAAGAAAGGGCCAACCAGTGAGAATGTAGGGTGGAGCGCTATCCCTTACCATACGGCCTATGGGACAATGAGAGCTTCGAGCTGCTTTGTTATTCCACTTTCCTTGATTAGGATGTCCAAGAAATTTTGAGAAAGCATTGACGCTGCTCAAAAATACCGTTACTTCTTATTTTCGAAGGATGCCTGATCGGTAGAGAATAATAATGAATACAAATGGTCAATACTGATTGGAGCAACAACCCCAGATGAGCTCGTGTCGAACAATCTATTCGGTGGATATGATGGAGTAGCCCGCGTGTATCGCATCTGTGCCGTTGCCGCGGCTCGAAAGTGCGCGACAAGTGGCGCTAGGGCTTCACAAAGTGAGGTTGTGACGACTAATGTAAGCTAATGAGATACCTTGCACACATCCATGAAACGCGACGTGGATTACGATGCGACAATTCAAATACGCGCGGGTTAGTGAAACCATGGAGCAAGCAAGTTCAGGCAACTCGTCAGGACACGCTCCTCCCTCACTTCGAGAGGAAGATTAGCCCTTGCTTAAAGGCAAACCCCGGGATTAGCCCGACTAGTAGGAAGGATACCGCGAGGGAAATTGTAAGGTCCGTACCTACCTAGATCACTCCAGCTTCGTCGCAAAAATTGCGCGGTTAGGGCGCTAATCCTTACGGGCCTGCAACCATCGACCCCGTTGCAACGCTTCCCACCCACCGCGAGAGATGGTGAGATCAGCGTGCTCTCTCGAACGACGTGCTCTCTCGCGTATTTTGTCTTCTTTGACCGCCCTGTCTCGCCATCGTACCACATCCGACCTTACTGAAGGTTAAGGCCTTAATTTCAGCGTTCCAAAGACTTCTCTTGCTTTCCTTCCCACTTTCAGGTCGTTCCGCAGCTAAGCTATCACCACGAAGCGCTGATAGCACCAGTTTAATCCCGGAGTTTGC